TAAGCGAAATTTAAACAAAAAAAACTGACTTATCAAAATCTAAAAAGAAAATTAGATATGTTAAAAAAAACTAAATATATTTTCGCAAAATCTAAAAAAAAAAATATTTTTTTTTAATAAACAACAAATTTGATATACTTATTTATTTTAATGAAATAATTATATTTCATTTCATATAAAATAAAGTACATATGTATATACACTTTTTGAAATTGAATCTACACTTACAAGAATAAAAAAATAAGTAAATGTTTTCTATGTGATAATTGATAAAGTAATGTGTCACACTTTAGTAGACTTTATCTTCACACTTCACAATCATTTACACTCATTATAGCCTATTTTATTAAAGGACTAGTAAAAGAAATAGAAAATAGAGATATGTATTGAGAGAGTACCGTAAGTAACCAAGTGTAGCTTCTCACTCCGGTAGAGAGAACACTAGGCCGGAGAGGGATAGCGGCAGCCGGCAGATTGCAACGTGGAGGTCAGAGCGCAGTCCGGTGAGGCGGCGACTGGCGAAGTGGTCGAGTGGAGAGAGGAACGGTACGGATCGAAGTCCGGCGTCCTCTTGAGAGTAGAGAGCGCTCGAAGAAGCCGACAGTCAGGCAACGACAACCACGACAACCGGTAGACGATGTGCAATTGGGCAGCGGATTATTTTTCCGGAGGCTGAGTTTTTTTTTTTTTTTTTTTTGGGTTTTAATTCTTTTTTTTTAACTCAAATCTTGAGTCAAGAAGGTCGTAAATTTCATTGGAGTTTAGTTTTTTATAGAGTTTAATTGTTTAAGAGATATAGTTTCCTAATGAAACATGGTTTGTTTTGAATTTTTCAGTGATGTCCTGGATTTTTTGTTAATTAGTTGTCATTTCTTTGTTTAACCAGATTTTATTAATTATAAGCTTAAATCGGGGGGGCTAATTAGCGAATTTATAGATTACTTCGTTTATTTCATTGATAATCAATAGATATGCACGTATTAGAAACTTTAAAACCGGGGAGGCCATGGCCCCCACTGGCCCCTATTAAGATCTGCCACTGGGTGACAAGTCACTTTTTTTAAATTCTACTTCAAAATTTAGAAACAATTTCTTATCATTTGGCTAAAGACAATGTTTTAGAAACACAATTTGTGGAACCTAATAAAGAAGTGACAGCGGACCTGCCATGCCAAATAATTAGAGGTGCTCTGCATACTAGCGAAACATGGCAAAAAATGGTATTGTGGAATACGTAACATCAAAGTGGAGTAAATATGGTTTAGATTTGCCGCAAACATGAGTTATGTTGACTTGTTTCAAGTTGTGGTTAGCAAAGTTAATATAACATAAAACACATTTAAGATTAGATCGCCAATTTCCTAAAATGGATAATGCAATGGAGATAAGTGATGATAGCGACATGAGACGCCTTGTGAGTTTTGCTCGTTCTTTTTTTTTTGGAAATGACACATTTTTATTTTGGTAGTTATGTTTATTTAGTAGTTATTGATGTCGAAGATAACTTGCATATTGCAAAAAGGGTAGTTATTGATGTTGAAGATAACTTACATATCGCAAAAAGGGTGGGAGGTGGTAATCATTTGGGTGCAACTAAGTTAACTAAAAATGGGTCTTAATAAATTGGATAATATGTTGTCTCTAAGGTAGCGTTTGGTAGATGGAACAGAACTGGACTGAACGGAACAAAAAATTTCGAAGAATGTTTGGCATGGATGGAACAAGAACAAAAGAGGTTATTGACTAAGTCAAATGGGACAAATTCTAAAAAACTCAGTCCCACTTAAAGACTTAAAAAGATGGAACACAGTAGGACAAAAAATATTTGACAAAAATACCCAATCTTCTCTTCCTCGTTCATCGTTTCTTCCTATACATTTTTTTTTTCCTGTTAACATTTTTCTATCGCCTCTTACAATTTTCTATTGTTTCTTCAAAAATGTTTCAAGAAGAAAAAAAGAATCGTTTATGACAGTGAGTACAACAACAAATTATTTCGTTGGTAATAATTGTCTCTCTTTATATATATATATATATATATATATATATATATATATATATATATATATATATATATATATTTTAAATTTGATTGGTGATGCATCTTCCAAGAACTATTTTAATTTTTCTTCATCTTTTTTCTTTATAAAATCAATGATTTGTACCTCTTATCCAAAGCAACCGCCAAAGCAAAAGCAATTCCAAATTCCAATCTAATAAACATACGAGTAACTTTCAATAAGGTTATTAAAACGTAGGTTGTAAGCATTATACTATAAAACAAGTTAGAAACGGTTTATGAAAATTTTGATAAATTTCAGGATAATTTAGTAATTTTACAATTTAGTTCCGTCGAGTCCTAGCTTTGCCAAACGCAATACAAATCTATTAGTTTAGTCCAGTTCAGTTCTGTTCCATCCCGTTCAGTCCGGTCCTGTCCAGTTTTGTTCTTGTACCAAACGCTACCTAAAGAACAAATATGTGAAACTAGTTTCAAATTAGAAAATGATAAAACAAAGGCAATCTTATTATTTTAAAGACATGTAACGGGATGAGACTAACGGTAATTCGGTTAAGGACTAAATTTGATAGATTTTAAAACCATAAAAGTATTTGGTATTAAATTTTCTAAAGTAAAACCAAACATGCAGAAAATTACATACATAAAGGACTACAAAATTGTAAGAATGGTCCCTATTGTGGTATTTCAGAAATCGCATGTTTGGGCCAAAAAGTTTGGACTATCATTAGTGGTCCAAAAGTTTCATTTTCTTCTGAGATTGATCCAATTTAGTTTGAATTTTTTTGTAAAGACGATTCTGCCCTTATTATTTAATTTTTCATTTTGGTTATATTACTAGCAATTAAAAAAATAAAAATAAAAATAAAACAAAAGTAAAATTCTCTCTCTCTCTCTCTCTATCTCTCTCTCTCTCTCTCTGTTTGTGTTTGATAAACACCAAGAACATATTCATATATTCAAGAACAATCAAGAACATATTCCGCCACCACCACCTAGGGATGAGCAGCGGAAGCGGGTACCTGCTTTCGGAACCGGAACCGCCTCGGAACTGCTGGTTCTGGAACCGGAACTGCTTTAGGCGGTTCCGGTTCCGGTTCCTAAAGTCTCGGAACCGCCTTAAGCGGTTCCGGTTCCAATTCTCATTTTTAAAAAACTAATACCCGCTGGATACCCATCGGTTCCGGTTCCAATACCGGGTACCTGGAACCGGCGGTTAATCGGAACCGGTACTGCCGGGTACCCGCCTCTTTAAATATATATATATATATATATATATATATATATATATATATATATATATATATATATATATAATATATATATATATATATATATAGGCTTAGTTATTTTGTTTAAAGTAATTATTGTGTTATTGTATGTATAAATGTGAGCCAATCAAATTTACTTATTTTAAGAAAGTGATTAATATACATTATTGAATTATATATAATTGAAAAATTCATCTTAATTAATTACAAGGGTAATTTAGTCAATTAATATAAATTTAATAAAGGAAAATTGCATTTTTTAAGGGATCATAGATTCTATTAATTTTAAAAATCCGATTTTACGAATTATAATTCTTTTAATTCGGACATTCTGACAGAATATGTTTATGAGTATATTCAAAAATAAAAATATTCTTGAACCATAAATAATAAAAATATTCTTGAACCTATTTCTTGATGATGACTTTAAAAACTTCTTGAAGAGTAACAACTTCTTGTAGAATAACAAAATCTTGAACAATCAATTGAAGAATAAAAACAAAAAATACATTATTTCTTATAGAATCCGGGTAACAATTGTTAAGAATTACATTTATTGTTAAAGAATAAAACTAAAAAAACAATCAAAACGGGGAAGAAACATCAAAATCTAACAACGACTAATACATTCTAAAAGAATAATGTGGTCCGTTCTTCAAGCATCAACTTCTGTGATTCCAACAGAATTGGAATTCGTCATTCCATTCCAACGTTCACGCCCTTGATCAGCATGTCTCCTTCACGCATTCTATAAGAATAACTGCTATGAAATTGTACATTTTAATACAATTACACATATTCTAACAGAATGTCATAAAAAATAAATAAAATCTTAAAAAGCATGGAATTCTTAAATATAGAATTCTTGTCAAAATTCAAGGTCAAAGAAGTCAATATTTGACCGATTCAAGTCAAACATGATATTACTACAAAATGAAGAATGTTGATAGCATAAGGATAACAAATTCATAACTTGATGTATATTACTACACTCATTTCAAAAAGATGGAGATATTATTCTAGTGTAAACATGATATGCGTTATCCTCTATTTAATATTTGACTTTTGAATGTCAAATTAAAATGATGGTTAACTTGTTTTGGTTCATGCAGAAAAAACATATGGTCTATTCAAATCACACTAGTTTGAAGCTACAAAGTTAAATATACATGGATCAGTTTTTGATTTTTAATTTTTAGAATCCAAAGGGTAGAATTTCAATAAACAAGAACATACCTGTTCTTGAGCAATTTCAAGCAGGCCCTTCTCAAGCTTTTGGCCCCTTAATTCCAGAACCTAGAGTAGACACACACATGATAAAATCCAAATCAAAAACCTAAGAACCCATTGAGATTGTGCGAATTAGTTATACAAATTGAAATTATGTATTAAATGAAGATTGAAAAAGACCATTAATGGAGATGGAGATGTGAGGAAGAAACCTTGAGGGGGCGAACTGAGAATCCTTTGCTTATGGCAAGACCGGTACGAGACAACCCAAGATCAATGCCTAGACTGAATCCACCCAACCACCTGGAATCAAGCTTCCTTCGCATGGCGTTTGGGGGAAAAGGAAAAGGGTGTTCTTCGACTTCGAGTGAGACATCTGCCCTAATTTTTGAAGTACGCACTCGTACAGAATTTGAGTGAGAATTGAGGTGTATATTGGAAGGATTAGTGGGTGAAAGTGTAAATAATGTTGGCAATCCATGCGTCTGCGCCATTTTCATTCTCTCGTTCCTGATGCCCTTCATCACCTTCATCGATGTACAAGGTCGATAACGGCTACCCTTCTTTTTGTTTCAGGTTATTATCGACGGCTGTATATAAGAAAATAAATTAGGTTAAGAGTGAAGGCTAGCAAGATTATAGAGATTATTTTTGGAAGTTATTAAACAAATGACTAAATTACCCTTATTTATTTATTTAATTATTTAATTTTTTATTTAATTTTGATTGACCCACATTTATGCATACGATAACGCAATACTTAGTTTAAACAAATGAACCTAGCTATATATATATATATATATATATATATATATATATATATATATATATATATATATATAATTTAATATTTATATTTTGGAAAAAGAAGGTGGTGTAATTGCCTTTTGCCTTATCATTTTTAGGGTTTGTGAATTGTGACTGAGAATTCATTCTCACCAAAAAAAACGCAAACACTCACACTCCCCTCTCGCAATCGTAACTTCGTAAGCCGCCGACACTCCCCTCTCCCGTCTCGCAATCGTTTGATTCGCTGGAGTAGAAGACGAAGGTGGACAGTGGACTCGTTCGATTCTTAGACCCCCTCTCAGTCGCTCACGTTGTTCCGTCTGTTCAATCGACGAACGAAGAAACCCAATTGCCGACGCAATCGCCGACCATCGCTGTAAGCCTGCAACTACAAGGTTAGATTCTCGAAGTCTCAAACTGTTACCATTCAGAGATCAAGATGGGTAATATAGTCCAATTTGATTCAGCTCCTCCCTCAATGAAATAAACATAAACTTTCCATTGGATATGGAATGAAATAACTTATAGTCTTATACGACTACTATTAGTTTGAAAAAGGTTTTAATAGTGTTGATTAATCAAATTTGATTTAGTGCCCTGTATCTGTATGTGTTCTGATTCCCATGGCAAAGTTAATAATCCTTTTCAACTTAAATGCATAACAACGAGTGTTTAAGAGCTCAAACTAAACCCAAGCCAGACCGTGTTTGAATTTATTGAGTTTATTGTTATATATATGCTAATATTATTATTGATTAAGCTTAAATTGTTGGATATTTTGAAGCAATTCTAGCTTGTTTTTTTAAATCAATTTCTAACTTATTTGTTGTACTTAATAGCTCATATAGACATGACATGTAATAATCAGAAATTCACTATTTTTTTTGTGTTTTGTGGTCTCAAAAGTTCATTGTTATCTTTTGGTTGTTATTGATTTATGTTTGTTGTCTGAAATTTTAGGTTCAACAATGGAAAGTAGTCGAATTGATGTTGACTTGGATGGTGAAAGTGAGGCTGTTGAGCAAAACAAAGTGCCGGTAGTTGGGGACAAAAGGACATCAAACGCTTGGCGCAACTACACAGATGTTAGAGATCCAAAGACGGGTAAGATTGGAAAAAATCTGAATTGGAGGAATATCTTGATGCTCCACCCGAAAAAATGAATAATGAAACATTTGATATTTTGAAGTGGTGGAGTGACAAATGCACAACATACGAGGTGTTGGAATCAATGGCAAAGGACATTCTAGCCATTCCGGTTTCTACGGTTGCTAGTGAGTCCACTTTTAGTACATCCGGACGTGTGGTTGATGACTTTCGTGGTAATTTGCTTCCAAAGACGGTGGAAGCTTTGATTTGTACTCAAGATTGGTTGAGGGCATCAAATGTTTGTATTGACATTGAACAGTTACTGGAAGATGTGGAAAAATATGAGGAAGGTAATATGGAAGATACACTTTTATTTATTCTTTTATTTTATGTTTCTTGTATAATATTTAATATTCTAATTTGAATTTTTATGTTTAATTCCATTGCAGAAATCAGTCGCAATATGGAAGATACTCGTGGAGGGAATTAGTAGTTGCTGTTTTTGATGTTGGGATGTTGTTGTTTTTGCTGCCTGCTGTTGCTGTTTGGTGTTGTTTTGCTGTTTTTTGCTTGCTGTTTTGCTGTGTTTTGCTTGCTGTTGGTGCTGTTTTGCTGTTGCTGTTTGGCTGTTTTGCTGTGGTTCTTTTGCTGTTTTTGTGTTGTTTTGAAACTTGATAAAAATTGTTTGCTGTTTTGCTGTTTTGTTGTTGCTGTTTTGACTTTTGTTATTGCTGAAAATTGTCATTAAATTGTCGTTTTGTTATATTACTTGATAAATTCCAATTGTGTTGGCATGGTGTTTTGAGATCAAGTTTTTATGATTATTTTAGTTTTATATATTACAGTCCTAGTCTCCTATTGTTTATAAAAGTTTATTTCAATGAAATGTATACAATAAAAGATGTAAATTATCAAGAAGCCGGGTACCCGGAACCGGAACCGGTTTCAATTTTCTAGGAACCGGTGTAGGCAGTTCCGGTTCCAATACCCAAAAACTAAGAACCGTTGGTTCCGGGAGCGGTTCCAGTTCCGGCTAAAATAGGCGGGTACCCGGTTATGCTCATCCCTACCACCACCATTCGAACAACTTCTGCCACCACCACAGTCTGCCACCATCACGGTCTGTGTCACACCCCCAAACCAAGGATGGCGGAAACATTCGGGGGTGGAGGACTTCATGTATAGTATCACAACAACGAGTATAATAGTGCTCAAAGTAAATACAACCATCATAAATATAATTGAAAAAAATTACACCAAAGTATATGTTTACATGTTTCAAATCAATTACATTATGATGACAAAATAAACTGTTTGACGATTTAACGTCCCATCCTCAAAATGCTGTTGATTTTCTGTTTCACTGATTTCCTGAGAATACAAGTAGGTTTGAAAAAGTGTCAACAATTAAGTTGGTGAGTTCATAGGAGTTTTGTTTGAGAAAGAAACCGTTTTCTTTGTAAAAGCGACAAAGTATGTTTCCAGAAAACCCAATATTTTCTTAGTTAAGTGTGGAATGAATGCTCCTATGTTATGCGATAATGAACCCTAGAAGGACACATAGATTCTTTCTATAATCGTCCAGCGTATATAAGTTATATAAAATTTAAGTTAAATAAACCGTTGAATATAATGGGTCTGCCCTAGGTCCACAACCAAACAAGGAACAGGAGATAAGGCGGGCCCACCAATTCTAAGTCGATTGTGACTAGATTCTTATATAACTCTAGCATATACACTTAGCAATTATAGCTGAAGTCTAACAATTCTAGATGAAATAGTTTTAATAGAAATATGTTTCCGAAGAAAATCCAATATTTTCTTAGTTAAGTGAGAAATGAATGCTCCTATGATATGCGATAATGAACCCTAGAAAGACCCATAGATTCCTTCTATAATCGCCCAGCGTATACAAGTTATATAAAATTTAAGTTAAATAAACCGTTGAATATAATGGGTCTGCCCTAGGTCCACAACCAAACAAGGAACAGGAGATAAGGCGGGCCCACCAATTCTAAGTCGATTGTGACTAGATTCTTATATAACTCTAGCATATACACTTAGCAATTATAGCTGAAGTCTAACAATTCTAGATGAAATATAGTTTTAATATCATAAAAACCATTTTGTGTGAACCTGGTACTTTGTATTTGTACCCCTTTTTGGTATGAAACCGGTACTTTGTATTTGTACCCCTTTTCGTATGAAAACCTGGTACTTTGTATTTGTACCCCTTTTCGTATGAAAAACCTGGTACTTTGTATTTGTACCCCTTTTTGGTATGAAACCGGTACTTTGTATTTGTACCCCTTTTCGTGTGAAAACCTGGTACTTTGTATTTTGTACCCCTTTTCGTATGAAAAACCTGGTACTTTGTATTTGTACCCCTTTTCGTATGAAAAACCTGGTACTTTGTATTTGTACCCCTTTTTGTTTAAAATCCTTTTGTAATGAATTCGTAATGTAAATGAACATAAACTATACCTATTATAGTCTATCAAAATGTTTGTAATGTATATGCAACCTAACTATACCTATTATAGTTTAGTATGTTTGTTTGTGGTGTATAAGAACCCTTTTCTATGTACGTCGAATGTATATCAAAATATAACTATGTTTATCATGCCTTGTTTTGTACTATTGGTAATGATGGAGGATTCTTAAAATTCAGTGAGTATTTTCTGTTATACAATTATTCCACAACAAGAAACACATGTAAAATATGAAGTCATTAAAGATTAACACTTTGCTCAACATGTTACAAAGTGTGTTGAAAGTTATAAGCTGTTATCTAGATTTTTATCTTTCTACACTGTTTTAGAAAAATCATACGAAGTCGAAAACTGAATCCGTAAATTCTGTGAGTTCACAAAATGTGTCTAATTTATTCATAATTTTTATTATGGTTTTTAGAATTCTTTAACTTGTGTTAAAATGTTCATATTCACAGACTGGTCCGAATTCGTTTCTGAAATGATAGACAGTTTTGTAAAAATCACCATAAATCGTATGGAGATGTGCAAGTAGTCATTTTAAAGGTATGAACCTGAACTATTTGAATATTAAACAGTTTTGAAAGACATTAAGTTTAAGATAGTCAAAACAGTACGTGAATAAGACTCAACTTTTCTGATGAAAGCTGTTGTTTGAGTTTAGTTAAGTTTTTTTTGGTGTTTTAACTTGTATTACCCCCCTAAAACTTGAAGAAAACATGAAAATGTAGGGGTATGAACTCACCTTATATGATTTCAGTGGGTGAATGTTGAAGAAGAGAAGTGTTCAACTCAAGAACACTTGGAGGATTGCTTGAAGATTCGAGAATCTAACACTAATGTGATGGAATTTGTGTAAGCAATCTATGATTTTGAGTAGGAGGATGTGTAATAATCATAAGAAAGATGATGATACTTACCAAATGAAGGAGAAAAGCCTTGGGGTATGCCTTGAAGTTCTCGAAATTGAGAGAGAAAGATGAGAGAGTTTGGAGTGTGATTCTTGGTGGAAAATGAGAGAATGAATGAAGTGTGAGGAGAGAGGGTGGATGTTCCAGCTCTAAGAACGTGGGAAATGGCTGAAAATGATGAGAAAGTACATTGACATGACCTAGGTATGGTGGAAGGAGTGTGGCTGGTCATGGAGTGGGTGTGGGGGTGGTTGCTTGTGTCATAAACTAAAGAAAAGTCAACACTCCACCTCTTGTACTTCACTCACTCTTCTTCGATAAGATTTATCCCCAAAAACGTGATTAATTAATAAATATGGGGCCTTATATGTTAAAATAAAGTTTTTGGTGAAAATCCCGCGTTAAAATAATTAAAAACGGGCCTAAAATGCAAAACTAGTCGAAAACCGGGTGAAATTGGCCTACCTGCGAGACCTCTCGGTTCTGGGCCGAGGTTCGGTCCTAATGTTTTTGGGCCCGAAGGCGAAATGGAGCGAAATAGCCCGAAGGCGAAGGTAAGAAGCGAAGGCGAGAGGCTTCGGGTTCGGTGCTCAGGCGAGGTTCGGTCCGAAGGGTTTCGGTTCGGAAGGTTCGGTCCCTATAGCAAGCTTCGGTCCTTCAGCAGTTCGGTCCCTATAGGGACCTTCGGCCCTAAGAGGGTTCGGCCCTTTAAGAGGGGTTTCGGGTCCTTAAGTCTATTTTACCCGTTTTTACCCAGTTTTAAGCGGTTTTTGACCCGGTTAAGGGTCGGGATGGCCCGAAAGACTATAAAAAGTTAAAGGAACTTTTGAGAGAGATTTGGGAGAGATTTCACATACTTAGAGAGTTTTGGGAGAGATTTTAAATAGAGAGAGATAGAGTGAAATGGATTGGGAGAGGCTTCTTTTGTGACCTTTTTTGAGTGCTTGGCTCCGCAACGCAAGGTCCGTAAGCCCCGTTAAGCCATGTTTAAGGATCTTACACACTCCCGATGAGTATGCAACATTGTTTTATCGGTTTGGTTCGTTACTTAACATAGTTTTAGGTTAATGAAATCTAGATATACAAACTTTTCAATTGATGATTTCTCATTAGAATAGCGAGTTGTATAATGATTACCTAACGTAAGCCCTAGTACACAAGGGTTAAATGAGTCGACCGGTTTGACTTGTTGACTTTGACTTGACCGGAAATTGACGGTTGTCACAGTCTGCCACCTCCACCGTCGGCCAAAAAATCATCCATAAACAAAAACAATACACAAAATATGGGTTTGTTCTCGAGTTCATCCCTATTTGATGAATACACACACTCGAAATCAGATAAGATATACACACACAAAGTCAGATGAACACACACACACACACATACGAAATCTGATGAAAACCCTAACTGAAGAACGAAATCAGATGAACACACACACACGAAATTTGATGAACATATGTTTTCTCGCCGTCACCCTTGATGCTCATTAGATCTGGAAGACGAAAACACTGACTGAAGAACGAAGCCGTCATCGGAAAAAGAGATTGACGAAGTCGTCGCTAACAACCCTAGCTTCGATCTATGTGTCGTCGCCGCTACACCACCTACATACGCCACCATCCTCTGTTCCATCCTTTGCATCACCACCTGTTCAATCCGGAAACACCATCATCACCGAGACAACCTTCCACCAAGATCTGTTGTTCGTCGTTGTTGCGGCGACGAAACCCTAATCGGAGTTAGAAGAACAAAGAGCACCACCGCCACCAAGTCCACAATCCTCCATTTCGGTAACAAACTTGAGCTTGAAGATGAGGGGAACTCGATTCTTTGCAACGAGTGAAACTTCGATCGACTTTTTCTACTTTTCTTGGGGTTCTTAAATTTGGGGTTCGGGGTTTTGGGAGGTCACAAGACATTAACGTGTGGGTTTGTGCAGATCTGTGGTGTTTTCCTTCTCCAACGAGAGAGAGAGAGAGAGAGAGAGAGAGTAAGTGAGTGAGTGAGTATTTTGTTTTTGTTTATTTTTAATTATTTTTTAATTACTGGTAATACATCAAAATTGGAAAATTAAATAATAAGGGCAAAATTGTCTTTACAAAAAAGTTCAAACCAAATTGAACCAAACTCGCAAGAAAATGAAACTTTTAGACCATTGGTGCTAGTCCAAACGTTTTTGGCCCAAACATACGAGTTTTGACATACCACAATGACCATTTTTGCAATTTTGTCTCTTGCATTTGCAAACGTTGTTGCATACCCCCTCTTGACTACCCAAAAATGAGTCTGAGAATATTTGAACCCAACACCTTCCTCTAAGAAGATTCACCGTATAATAT